CTGTTGTACAAAATGCCAAAGCCAAGTACAAGGCCACTTTTCATATACAAAAGTTGACAAAGATAACTTAAACTTTATTATTGAAAGTTCCCTTTTCGATGTAGGAAAAGAAAGTATTGATAGTTCTATTTATGCAGAACGTGATAATATCGTAGTTTCATCAACAAATTTCTCTTCATGCAAAGCATCTTGGGGACCTGCTGGTTGGATTAAAAATCCTTTAGAAAAATACACAACAAAATATAACTATACAACTGTTGTTAATAATTTAGCAACAAATAGTATGATTCTAGATATTTGGTATAATGCGTTGATTGATTCATGTAATATTATAAATAATACAAAAACAGAATCAAATTTAGGAATTATTTACCATTCATATAATTCTCTTACTGTAAAAAGTTGTTCTTTTATTAACAACACTGTTCCTCAAGGTTCATATTTGATATATAACCATGATTATGGTGATCCAAATGAACAAACAACAGTTGATAATTGTTACATTGACAATTCGATTTCAAATACATTTTATAGAAATGTAGTACCTACTAATCGAAGAGAACCATTTACTAACAAATTGATTCATCTTTCAACTGGTAATTGCCAAGTAGAATTTGCAATTATCAATAAAAGAATTTCTAAAGTTAATGAACTTTCTCTTTTTTTACAAACTTTAGTAAACATTTCTAACTCTTCATAATCTATTATTTCATTCTCTTCTAATGAAAGTTTCAAAATCGAAAACTCTAATTTGATTAATGTATATTATTTATTTGAAAAACAGGAATTACGACGTTGTAGTTATTCTTATTGATGATGGTTGCGATAAAAATATAACATTTGAACTGGATTATATGAAATTGTTATTAAATATCATGTTTCTGCATGAAGTTATGTAGAAACAAATATTAATAATTTAAGGACGTCGTTAGTTATCAATTGTCATTGCTTTACATAGACAAGATGAAAAATCTTTTATAGTTCAATTTATACTTCAAATTCTTTTAATAAAAAATTCATGAAGAGAATATTATATCAATCAATATATTTTGATATACATCATTCTTCACTACGTTAATATAAGAAGAGAGTATTTAACAACTTAAACATAATAATAAAATAACTCATATACAGCATCATCAGCATTTTGTGGTGCTCTTAAGATTATTGAAGGTGGCAGAAAAGACGCCGTTTTAAGGTGGCTTTATGAAATTCGTCAAGCATCAAATTCAACACAACGATCCGTTCGTTTTCACGCATTACTTCTACTTCATGCTCTTCGAAGTGATGATCTTCATGCGTCTGCTCAATTATCGAGTACATTAGAACCATCTAAGAGCATTCTTGAACAATGCATCCAAATCTCGATTGCTACACAAACTCTCAAGCTCAAACAAACCGATCAAGTTATGAATTTCTTACGTCAATCAATCAATTCTAATTCACCACAAACATGTCTTGAAACCATTCGTAAATGCGGTTCATACTTACCTAACGAGTCCGCCACTGCGATTTTTTCATTCTTTGGTGGTTCAATTCTTCGGTCGTTCGCCGCAGTCCGTACTATTGCAAATTCGACAAACATCCAAGTCTATTCATCACTTCTTCCACAAATCATCGAACTTACTAAGCACAGCAACAGCTCTCTTGCCGCCCTTGCCAGCATCTGCGTTCTTCGTCTTGGCGATGAATCACACATGGACATCGCTACTAAGCGTATCCTTAAGAACTGCAAGAAATGGGCTACACCACTTCTTAAATCAGTTGCACAAGAGGCATGTGTCTTTGCTGGCAAGTACAAATCGGACAAGTTAACAGACGTCGCAGTTTTACTTCTCAAATACACAAGAAATCTAAGTTCTCGATCCTTCGATCTCTTCTTACTACAGAAGGTATCCCTCGTTCACAACTTCTTCCTAAGCTTTCCGAGTATTTAGAAGACTGGGACACTGTTGATGTTGCACGTACTATCTGTGATTTCATTGGTGGACAAGTTGAATCATTGGAAGATCCAGAAGGTATCATTCCGGTTCTTTTTAACCGTGTTAACTTAGATGTTTCATCAGTTCGCATGGCCGCTCTTAACACACTTTCATGTATTGCATACAAATGCGAAGGGATGAAAGAAAAGATTTTACCACTTTTATCACTTTTTGTTGATGACGAAGATGACATTGTTCGCGAGCATGTTTTGTTATTAATCCATGCATTGAAGAGCTGTTTAGACATGTCAACTATTCTGACTGAATTCCATATGGTTTCAGACGAAACGGACGACATCTCACACGACGAACATGTTTCAGATAATTCAGAACAAACAACAGATCTTCAACAAGTCACCGACGAAACTACATTTATTCCCGTTGAGTTTGACGATAACATCAAACGTAAGTATGGTGATATTATCCGTAAAACGGATGCTATTGACCTCACTGATCGTGATGAAGAGTTTGTTGTTTCATATTTCGTTAACATCTTCAAGAAACACATTATTTTAGAGTTTATTGTCACTAACACGATTGAAGACAAAGTATATAATGACTTGTCTATCAGATTGAGTGACATCGATGTTTTAGATGACTCAAATGAATACGTTGCCAAACAAGTTGGTTATCAACAAACAGTCTCCACATGTTTAGTCCTTGAACGTAGTCAAAGTCATCTTTGTTTCGGCACATTCAGTGCTAAACTCGAATACACGGATTCCGATGTTGGCTCGGAAGATGAGTACAATTTGGGGGATGTTTATTTAGGTCCCGAATTTTGGTGCGAGCCTATCTCAGTTGATTTCGAGCGTGAATGGGATAACGAACAATATATTAAATGCACAAAAGCATTTGTTATGTCTAATGACAAAGACACCGAATCTGCTGTTAAGCGTATCGAAGACGATTTCTCATGGCTTCATTTTGTTTGTAAAGGCGAAAACTCTAAGAACACGGCTATTATTCTTGATTTCAGTGGTCAAATGATCGACAACGGTCCTTTTGTTCTTGTTCGCACCGAAGTTGGTTCATCCAAGTCCAAAGGCATTATTTGTCGTGTTACTGTTAAGACCTCATCCAATGATTTATGTCAGAAACTGATTCACTCTTTCTTCCGCTAAAAATATTTTTATATTTATTCTAATTTGTGAAATAATTCATTCAATCGTTATTATTTTATATTCCACTTCTCTTGGTTTATCTTCAACAGTGCTTATGTTAAGAATTATTTTACAAGGAACAAGAATCTTATATAGTTTGAATAAGTATTCAAAATTTTCGGTTATTTTATTATTTGCATGAAAATGCAAAAAAGTCATCTTCTCCAGAAGATGACGATGTTTGGAAATTCTACTTCAGCAGTGGGCTAACAGGAGATCCGACTAAATATTGCCAAAACTGCGATCTATTAGCAGGTCAAGGTCAATATTACTTAGATGAGTGCAATTTTTATGATGATAATAACCGAGTTATCAACTTTGATCCAATTGAAAACTCACTGTTCCTACATAATCGGTGTTCTTTTAGTAATTGCACTTCAACATCAGAAGGAAGTTGCATTTACTTCAAAATTGGTAGTAATAGTTCTATTGTTCAACGAAAATTCTGTTGTACAAAATGCCAAAGCCAAGTACAAGGCCACTTTTCATATACAAAAGTTGACAAAGATAACTTAAACTTTATTATTGAAAGTTCCCTTTTCGATGTAGGAAAAGAAAGTATTGATAGTTCTATTTATGCAGAACGTGATAATATTCGTAGTTTCATCAACAAATTTCTCTTCATGCAAAGCATCTTGGGGACCTGCTGGTTGGATTAAAAATCCTTTAGAAAAATACACAACAAAATATAACTATACAACTGTTGTTAATAATTTAGCAACAAATAGTATGATTCTAGATATTTGGTATAATGCGTTGATTGATTCATGTAATATTATAAATAATACAAAAACAGAATCAAATTTAGGAATTATTTACCATTCATATAATTCTCTTACTGTAAAAAGTTGTTCTTTTATTAACAACACTGTTCCTCAAGGTTCATATTTGATATATAACCATGATTATGGTGATCCAAATGAACAAACAACAGTTGATAATTGTTACATTGACAATTCGATTTCAAATACATTTTATAGAAATGTAGTACCTACTAATCGAAGAGAACTATTTACTAACAAATTGATTCATCTTTCAACTGGTAATTGCCAAGCAGAATTAGCAATTATCAATAAAAGAATTTCTAAATTTAATAAACTTTCTCTTTTTTTACAAACTTTAGTAAACATTTCTAACTCTTCATAATCTATTATTTCATTCTCTTCTAATGAAAGTTTCAAAATCGAAAACTCTAATTTGATTAATGTATATTATTTATTTGAAAAACAGGAATTACGACGTTGTAGTTATTCTTATTGATGATGGTTGCGATAAAAATATAACATTTGAACTGGATTATATGAAATTGTTATTAAATATCATGTTTCTGCATGAAGTTATGTAGAAACAAATATTAATAATTTAAGGACGTCGTTAGTTATCAATTGTCATTGCTTTACATAGACAAGATGAAAAATCTTTTATAGTTCAATTTATACTTCAAATTCTTTTAATAAAAAATTCATGAAGAGAATATTATATCAATCAATATATTTTGATATACATCATTCTTCACTACGTTAATATAAGAAGAGAGTATTTAACAACTTAAACATAATAATAAAATAACTCATATACAGCATCATCAGCATTTTGTGGTGCTCTTAAGATTATTGAAGGTGGCAGAAAAGACGCCGTTTTAAGGTGGCTTTATGAAATTCGTCAAGCATCAAATTCAACACAACGATCCGTTCGTTTTCACGCATTACTTCTACTTCATGCTCTTCGAAGTGATGATCTTCATGCGTCTGCTCAATTATCGAGTACATTAGAACCATCTAAGAGCATTCTTGAACAATGCATCCAAATCTCGATTGCTACACAAACTCTCAAGCTCAAACAAACCGATCAAGTTATGAATTTCTTACGTCAATCAATCAATTCTAATTCACCACAAACATGTCTTGAAACCATTCGTAAATGCGGTTCATACTTACCTAACGAGTCCGCCACTGCGATTTTTTCATTCTTTGGTGGTTCAATTCTTCGGTCGTTCGCCGCAGTCCGTACTATTGCAAATTCGACAAACATCCAAGTCTATTCATCACTTCTTCCACAAATCATCGAACTTACTAAGCACAGCAACAGCTCTCTTGCCGCCCTTGCCAGCATCTGCGTTCTTCGTCTTGGCGATGAATCACACATGGACATCGCTACTAAGCGTATCCTTAAGAACTGCAAGAAATGGGCTACACCACTTCTTAAATCAGTTGCACAAGAGGCATGTGTCTTTGCTGGCAAGTACAAATCGGACAAGTTAACAGACGTCGCAGTTTTACTTCTCAAATACACGAATGACAAGAAATCTAAGTTCTCGATCCTTCGATCTCTTCTTACTACAGAAGGTATCCCTCGTTCACAACTTCTTCCTAAGCTTTCCGAGTATTTAGAAGACTGGGACACTGTTGATGTTGCACGTACTATCTGTGATTTCATTGGTGGACAAGTTGAATCATTGGAAGATCCAGAAGGTATCATTCCGGTTCTTTTTAACCGTGTTAACTTAGATGTTTCATCAGTTCGCATGGCCGCTCTTAACACACTTTCATGTATTGCATACAAATGCGAAGGGATGAAAGAAAAGATTTTACCACTTTTATCACTTTTTGTTGATGACGAAGATGACATTGTTCGCGAGCATGTTTTGTTATTAATCCATGCATTGAAGAGCTGTTTAGACATGTCAACTATTCTGACTGAATTCCATATGGTTTCAGACGAAACGGACGACATCTCACACGACGAACATGTTTCAGATAATTCAGAACAAACAACAGATCTTCAACAAGTCACCGACGAAACTACATTTATTCCCGTTGAGTTTGACGATAACATCAAACGTAAGTATGGTGATATTATCCGTAAAACGGATGCTATTGACCTCACTGATCGTGATGAAGAGTTTGTTGTTTCATATTTCGTTAACATCTTCAAGAAACACATTATTTTAGAGTTTATTGTCACTAACACGATTGAAGACAAAGTATATAATGACTTGTCTATCAGATTGAGTGACATCGATGTTTTAGATGACTCAAATGAATACGTTGCCAAACAAGTTGGTTATCAACAAACAGTCTCCACATGTTTAGTCCTTGAACGTAGTCAAAGTCATCTTTGTTTCGGCACATTCAGTGCTAAACTCGAATACACGGATTCCGATGTTGGCTCGGAAGATGAGTACAATTTGGGGGATGTTTATTTAGGTCCCGAATTTTGGTGCGAGCCTATCTCAGTTGATTTCGAGCGTGAATGGGATAACGAACAATATATTAAATGCACAAAAGCATTTGTTATGTCTAATGACAAAGACACCGAATCTGCTGTTAAGCGTATCGAAGACGATTTCTCATGGCTTCATTTTGTTTGTAAAGGCGAAAACTCTAAGAACACGGCTATTATTCTTGATTTCAGTGGTCAAATGATCGACAACGGTCCTTTTGTTCTTGTTCGCACCGAAGTTGGTTCATCCAAGTCCAAAGGCATTATTTGTCGTGTTACTGTTAAGACCTCATCCAATGATTTATGTCAGAAACTGATTCACTCTTTCTTCCGCTAAAAATATATTTTTATATTTATTCTAATTTGTGAAATAATTCATTCAATCGTTATTATTTTATATTCCACTTCTCTTGGTTTATCTTCAACAGTGCTTATGTTAAGAATTATTTTACAAGGAACAAGAATCTTATATAGTTTGAATAAGTATTCAAAATTTTCGGTTATTTTATTATTTGCATGAAAATGCAAAAAAGTCATCTTCTCCAGAAGATGACGATGTTTGGAAATTCTACTTCAGCAGTGGGCTAACAGGAGATCCGACTAAATATTGCCAAAACTGCGATCTATTAGCAGGTCAAGGTCAATATTACTTAGATGAGTGCAATTTTTATGATGATAATAACCGAGTTATCAACTTTGATCCAATTGAAAACTCACTGTTCCTACATAATCGGTGTTCTTTTAGTAATTGCACTTCAACATCAGAAGGAAGTTGCATTTACTTCAAAATTGGTAGTAATAGTTCTATTGTTCAACGAAAATTCTGTTGTACAAAATGCCAAAGCCAAGTACAAGGCCACTTTTCATATACAAAAGTTGACAAAGATAACTTAAACTTTATTATTGAAAGTTCCCTTTTCGATGTAGGAAAAGAAAGTATTGATAGTTCTATTTATGCAGAACGTGATAATATCGTAGTTTCATCAACAAATTTCTCTTCATGCAAAGCATCTTGGGGACCTGCTGGTTGGATTAAAAATCCTTTAGAAAAATACACAACAAAATATAACTATACAACTGTTGTTAATAATTTAGCAACAAATAGTATGATTCTAGATATTTGGTATAATGCGTTGATTGATTCATGTAATATTATAAATAATACAAAAACAGAATCAAATTTAGGAATTATTTACCATTCATATAATTCTCTTACTGTAAAAAGTTGTTCTTTTATTAACAACACTGTTCCTCAAGGTTCATATTTGATATATAACCATGATTATGGTGATCCAAATGAACAAACAACAGTTGATAATTGTTACATTGACAATTCGATTTCAAATACATTTTATAGAAATGTAGTACCTACTAATCGAAGAGAACTATTTACTAACAAATTGATTCATCTTTCAACTGGTAATTGCCAAGCAGAATTAGCAATTATCAATAAAAGAATTTCTAAATTTAATAAACTTTCTCTTTTTTTACAAACTTTAGTAAACATTTCTAACTCTTCATAATCTATTATTTCATTCTCTTCTAATGAAAGTTTCAAAATCGAAAACTCTAATTTGATTAATGTATATTATTTATTTGAAAAACAGGAATTACGACGTTGTAGTTATTCTTATTGATGATGGTTGCGATAAAAATATAACATTTGAACTGGATTATATGAAATTGTTATTAAATATCATGTTTCTGCATGAAGTTATGTAGAAACAAATATTAATAATTTAAGGACGTCGTTAGTTATCAATTGTCATTGCTTTACATAGACAAGATGAAAAATCTTTTATAGTTCAATTTATACTTCAAATTCTTTTAATAAAAAATTCATGAAGAGAATATTATATCAATCAATATATTTTGATATACATCATTCTTCACTACGTTAATATAAGAAGAGAGTATTTAACAACTTAAACATAATAATAAAATAACTCATATACAGCATCATCAGCATTTTGTGGTGCTCTTAAGATTATTGAAGGTGGCAGAAAAGACGCCGTTTTAAGGTGGCTTTATGAAATTCGTCAAGCATCAAATTCAACACAACGATCCGTTCGTTTTCACGCATTACTTCTACTTCATGCTCTTCGAAGTGATGATCTTCATGCGTCTGCTCAATTATCGAGTACATTAGAACCATCTAAGAGCATTCTTGAACAATGCATCCAAATCTCGATTGCTACACAAACTCTCAAGCTCAAACAAACCGATCAAGTTATGAATTTCTTACGTCAATCAATCAATTCTAATTCACCACAAACATGTCTTGAAACCATTCGTAAATGCGGTTCATACTTACCTAACGAGTCCGCCACTGCGATTTTTTCATTCTTTGGTGGTTCAATTCTTCGGTCGTTCGCCGCAGTCCGTACTATTGCAAATTCGACAAACATCCAAGTCTATTCATCACTTCTTCCACAAATCATCGAACTTACTAAGCACAGCAACAGCTCTCTTGCCGCCCTTGCCAGCATCTGCGTTCTTCGTCTTGGCGATGAATCACACATGGACATCGCTACTAAGCGTATCCTTAAGAACTGCAAGAAATGGGCTACACCACTTCTTAAATCAGTTGCACAAGAGGCATGTGTCTTTGCTGGCAAGTACAAATCGGACAAGTTAACAGACGTCGCAGTTTTACTTCTCAAATACACGAATGACAAGAAATCTAAGTTCTCGATCCTTCGATCTCTTCTTACTACAGAAGGTATCCCTCGTTCACAACTTCTTCCTAAGCTTTCCGAGTATTTAGAAGACTGGGACACTGTTGATGTTGCACGTACTATCTGTGATTTCATTGGTGGACAAGTTGAATCATTGGAAGATCCAGAAGGTATCATTCCGGTTCTTTTTAACCGTGTTAACTTAGATGTTTCATCAGTTCGCATGGCCGCTCTTAACACACTTTCATGTATTGCATACAAATGCGAAGGGATGAAAGAAAAGATTTTACCACTTTTATCACTTTTTGTTGATGACGAAGATGACATTGTTCGCGAGCATGTTTTGTTATTAATCCATGCATTGAAGAGCTGTTTAGACATGTCAACTATTCTGACTGAATTCCATATGGTTTCAGACGAAACGGACGACATCTCACACGACGAACATGTTTCAGATAATTCAGAACAAACAACAGATCTTCAACAAGTCACCGACGAAACTACATTTATTCCCGTTGAGTTTGACGATAACATCAAACGTAAGTATGGTGATATTATCCGTAAAACGGATGCTATTGACCTCACTGATCGTGATGAAGAGTTTGTTGTTTCATATTTCGTTAACATCTTCAAGAAACACATTATTTTAGAGTTTATTGTCACTAACACGATTGAAGACAAAGTATATAATGACTTGTCTATCAGATTGAGTGACATCGATGTTTTAGATGACTCAAATGAATACGTTGCCAAACAAGTTGGTTATCAACAAACAGTCTCCACATGTTTAGTCCTTGAACGTAGTCAAAGTCATCTTTGTTTCGGCACATTCAGTGCTAAACTCGAATACACGGATTCCGATGTTGGCTCGGAAGATGAGTACAATTTGGGGGATGTTTATTTAGGTCCCGAATTTTGGTGCGAGCCTATCTCAGTTGATTTCGAGCGTGAATGGGATAACGAACAATATATTAAATGCACAAAAGCATTTGTTATGTCTAATGACAAAGACACCGAATCTGCTGTTAAGCGTATCGAAGACGATTTCTCATGGCTTCATTTTGTTTGTAAAGGCGAAAACTCTAAGAACACGGCTATTATTCTTGATTTCAGTGGTCAAATGATCGACAACGGTCCTTTTGTTCTTGTTCGCACCGAAGTTGGTTCATCCAAGTCCAAAGGCATTATTTGTCGTGTTACTGTTAAGACCTCATCCAATGATTTATGTCAGAAACTGATTCACTCTTTCTTCCGCTAAAAATATATTTTTATATTTATTCTAATTTGTGAAATAATTCATTCAATCGTTATTATTTTATATTCCACTTCTCTTGGTTTATCTTCAACAGTGCTTATGTTAAGAATTATTTTACAAGGAACAAGAATCTTATATAGTTTGAATAAGTATTCAAAATTTTCGGTTATTTTATTATTTGCATGAAAATGCAAAAAAGTCATCTTCTCCAGAAGATGACGATGTTTGGAAATTCTACTTCAGCAGTGGGCTAACAGGAGATCCGACTAAATATTGCCAAAACTGCGATCTATTAGCAGGTCAAGGTCAATATTACTTAGATGAGTGCAATTTTTATGATGATAATAACCGAGTTATCAACTTTGATCCAATTGAAAACTCACTGTTCCTACATAATCGGTGTTCTTTTAGTAATTGCACTTCAACATCAGAAGGAAGTTGCATTTACTTCAAAATTGGTAGTAATAGTTCTATTGTTCAACGAAAATTCTGTTGTACAAAATGCCAAAGCCAAGTACAAGGCCACTTTTCATATACAAAAGTTGACAAAGATAACTTAAACTTTATTATTGAAAGTTCCCTTTTCGATGTAGGAAAAGAAAGTATTGATAGTTCTATTTATGCAGAACGTGATAATATCGTAGTTTCATCAACAAATTTCTCTTCATGCAAAGCATCTTGGGGACCTGCTGGTTGGATTAAAAATCCTTTAGAAAAATACACAACAAAATATAACTATACAACTGTTGTTAATAATTTAGCAACAAATAGTATGATTCTAGATATTTGGTATAATGCGTTGATTGATTCATGTAATATTATAAATAATACAAAAACAGAATCAAATTTAGGAATTATTTACCATTCATATAATTCTCTTACTGTAAAAAGTTGTTCTTTTATTAACAACACTGTTCCTCAAGGTTCATATTTGATATATAACCATGATTATGGTGATCCAAATGAACAAACAACAGTTGATAATTGTTACATTGACAATTCGATTTCAAATACATTTTATAGAAATGTAGTACCTACTAATCGAAGAGAACTATTTACTAACAAATTGATTCATCTTTCAACTGGTAATTGCCAAGCAGAATTAGCAATTATCAATAAAAGAATTTCTAAATTTAATAAACTTTCTCTTTTTTTACAAACTTTAGTAAACATTTCTAACTCTTCATAATCTATTATTTCATTCTCTTCTAATGAAAGTTTCAAAATCGAAAACTCTAATTTGATTAATGTATATTATTTATTTGAAAAACAGGAATTACGACGTTGTAGTTATTCTTATTGATGATGGTTGCGATAAAAATATAACATTTGAACTGGATTATATGAAATTGTTATTAAATATCATGTTTCTGCATGAAGTTATGTAGAAACAAATATTAATAATTTAAGGACGTCGTTAGTTATCAATTGTCATTGCTTTACATAGACAAGATGAAAAATCTTTTATAGTTCAATTTATACTTCAAATTCTTTTAATAAAAAATTCATGAAGAGAATATTATATCAATCAATATATTTTGATATACATCATTCTTCACTACGTTAATATAAGAAGAGAGTATTTAACAACTTAAACATAATAATAAAATAACTCATATACAGCATCATCAGCATTTTGTGGTGCTCTTAAGATTATTGAAGGTGGCAGAAAAGACGCCGTTTTAAGGTGGCTTTATGAAATTCGTCAAGCATCAAATTCAACACAACGATCCGTTCGTTTTCACGCATTACTTCTACTTCATGCTCTTCGAAGTGATGATCTTCATGCGTCTGCTCAATTATCGAGTACATTAGAACCATCTAAGAGCATTCTTGAACAATGCATCCAAATCTCGATTGCTACACAAACTCTCAAGCTCAAACAAACCGATCAAGTTATGAATTTCTTACGTCAATCAATCAATTCTAATTCACCACAAACATGTCTTGAAACCATTCGTAAATGCGGTTCATACTTACCTAACGAGTCCGCCACTGCGATTTTTTCATTCTTTGGTGGTTCAATTCTTCGGTCGTTCGCCGCAGTCCGTACTATTGCAAATTCGACAAACATCCAAGTCTATTCATCACTTCTTCCACAAATCATCGAACTTACTAAGCACAGCAACAGCTCTCTTGCCGCCCTTGCCAGCATCTGCGTTCTTCGTCTTGGCGATGAATCACACATGGACATCGCTACTAAGCGTATCCTTAAGAACTGCAAGAAATGGGCTACACCACTTCTTAAATCAGTTGCACAAGAGGCATGTGTCTTTGCTGGCAAGTACAAATCGGACAAGTTAACAGACGTCGCAGTTTTACTTCTCAAATACACGAATGACAAGAAATCTAAGTTCTCGATCCTTCGATCTCTTCTTACTACAGAAGGTATCCCTCGTTCACAACTTCTTCCTAAGCTTTCCGAGTATTTAGAAGACTGGGACACTGTTGATGTTGCACGTACTATCTGTGATTTCATTGGTGGACAAGTTGAATCATTGGAAGATCCAGAAGGTATCATTCCGGTTCTTTTTAACCGTGTTAACTTAGATGTTTCATCAGTTCGCATGGCCGCTCTTAACACACTTTCATGTATTGCATACAAATGCGAAGGGATGAAAGAAAAGATTTTACCACTTTTATCACTTTTTGTTGATGACGAAGATGACATTGTTCGCGAGCATGTTTTGTTATTAATCCATGCATTGAAGAGCTGTTTAGACATGTCAACTATTCTGACTGAATTCCATATGGTTTCAGACGAAACGGACGACATCTCACACGACGAACATGTTTCAGATAATTCAGAACAAACAACAGATCTTCAACAAGTCACCGACGAAACTACATTTATTCCCGTTGAGTTTGACGATAACATCAAACGTAAGTATGGTGATATTATCCGTAAAACGGATGCTATTGACCTCACTGATCGTGATGAAGAGTTTGTTGTTTCATATTTCGTTAACATCTTCAAGAAACACATTATTTTAGAGTTTATTGTCACTAACACGATTGAAGACAAAGTATATAATGACTTGTCTATCAGATTGAGTGACATCGATGTTTTAGATGACTCAAATGAATACGTTGCCAAACAAGTTGGTTATCAACAAACAGTCTCCACATGTTTAGTCCTTGAACGTAGTCAAAGTCATCTTTGTTTCGGCACATTCAGTGCTAAACTCGAATACACGGATTCCGATGTTGGCTCGGAAGATGAGTACAATTTGGGGGATGTTTATTTAGGTCCCGAATTTTGGTGCGAGCCTATCTCAGTTGATTTCGAGCGTGAATGGGATAACGAACAATATATTAAATGCACAAAAGCATTTGTTATGTCTAATGACAAAGACACCGAATCTGCTGTTAAGCGCATCGAAGACGATTTCTCATGGCTTCATTTTGTTTGTAAAGGCGAAAACTCTAAGAACACGGCTATTATTCTTGATTTCAGTGGTCAAATGATCGACAACGGTCCTTTTGTTCTTGTTCGCACCGAAGTTGGTTCATCCAAGTCCAAAGGCATTATTTGTCGTGTTACTGTTAAGACCTCATCCAATGATTTATGTCAGAAACTGATTCACTCTTTCTTCCGCTAAAAACCTATTTTTATATTCCTTTATGATAATTTTATCAATTTTTTTAAGTTTATTCCACTTCTCTTGAATTTTATCCTCAACAGTGCTTATTGGAAGAATTATTTTTCAAGGAACGAGATTCTTTAATATTTTGAAAGAATTTTCAAAATTTAAGGTTATTTTATTCTTTGCATGAAAATGCAAAAAAGTCATCTTCTCCAGAAGATGACGATGTTTGGAAATTCTACTTCAACAGTGGACTAACAGGAGATCCAACCAAATATTGCCAAAACTGTAATCTATCAGCAGGTCAAGGTCAATATTACTTAGACGAGTGCAATTTTTATGATGATAACGACCGAGTTATCAACTTTGATCCAATTGAAAACTCACTATTTCTACATAATCGGTGTTCTTTTAGTAATTGCACTTCAACATCAGAAGGAAGTTGCATTTACTTCAAAATTGGTAGTAATAGTTCAATTGTTCAACGAAAGTTCTGTTGTACAAAATGTCAAAGTCAAAAAGAAGGCCAATTTTCATATACATATGTTGACACAGATAACTTAAACTTTTTTATTGAAAGTTCCCTTTTCGATGTAGGAAAAGAAGTTGGTTATAGTTCTATTTATGCAGAAGATGGTAATATCGTAGTTTCATCAACAAATTTCTCATCAAGCAAAACTCAGTGGTCACCTGCTGGTTGGATTAAAAGACATAATGTTATTTACACAACAAAATATAACTATACAACTGTTGTTAATAATTTAGCAACAAATCAATTTATTCTAAGTATTTACTATAACTCTTTGATTGATTCATGTAATATTATAAATAATACCATAGCAACATCATTATATCAAGGTGGAATTATTTGCCATTGGAGTAATTCTCTTACTGTAAAAAGTTGTTCTTTTATTAACAACACTGTTCCTCAAGGTTCATATTTGATATATAACAGTGAAGATCAATTAACAGTTGATAGTTGTTACATTGACAATTCGATTTCATCAACATTTAAATATAATACTGTAGTACCTACTAATACAAGAGAACTATTTATTAACAAATTGATTCATTTTTCAACTGATATTTGCCAAGCAGAATTTGCAATTATCAAAAAAAGTATTTCCAAAGTTAATAAACTTTCTCTTTTTTTACAAACTTTAGTAAACATTTCTAACTCTTCATAATCTAATATTTCATTCTTTTCTCATTAGAAATATTAAAATTCTCGGACCTACGATTATTTTTGATTCAAATGCTGTTCGGCATTAAAAGCAAAAATAATCATATATACCCGAGAGTTACACTTTTCCGACATTTTTAAGTCGCTTGGCGCCCCTGACATAACATAGGAAAAGTATAAATTTTAGATTGAAAATCATATTTTAACAGCATGATATTTCTTCCTACTGAAGATTGCTGTAAATAAATATCTAATAATAGTTTTGGACTTACACCATTCATTATCCCACCAATTTATCTCTGATTGAGGATACCACCATTTGATATAATTACCATATATATATATACACGAAGAATTAGTATTTATTCTAAAAATAGCATTTGCTTACATTTTAAATAGTATTGACTCTTCATTATCAGCTTATATCGGCGCGCAGCGAAGCTTGCTGCACTTTTTTGTCGTCTTTAATTAAATCAAATAAGCTATCTAAATTTCATATTTTCGTGACTTATTTTTGACCATTTTCGGTTGCAATTTTTAATCGTTTTTAAACTAATATCATATATCAATTTTAGTTATATTGTACTGTGGATTGATACATTTAAATCGCCGAAAATTCAATGATCAAATAATTTCAATAATAAATCATATTCAAAATTCGATTCTAAGCAGTTAATTTTATTCTTTATCCTATGAGATATCATGTTCAAAATATATGAATTAATCTCATAAATCACTTCGAAATGCTGAACTTCTTGTAGTTAATAAGTAAAATAATGGCCCAAAAATGCGAGAGAATAAATTAATGAGTCTTAAATTATCAGATTAACCTATAAAAAATTGATATGACAATAGTAGTAGGATAGGATGGGTTTTGTGACTTTTTTTGTTACATCTATATATAGACGATGCATTAAAATATATTTATAAATCATTTTAAAATTAAAGTTATTTTTAAAATAATTTATTTTTTTATTCTTACATAAATGACCCAACAAGTAAAACCAGATAAAATAGATTATCGAATTTTAGAGGATGGTGTTCCTGTTTATATTCAAAGATTTAAAGGGAAGCAATATTATAGAATTGTTAATCCTGAATACATAAAACATTTATTTAAAAAGGAAGATTGTGAATTATTAAACGTTAATGAATATGAAACCAATAAATCAAAATTGAAATATAAATATATTGGAAGTGATGAAAGATGCAAAGATAAAGATAAAGTTTATACAGTTTCATATAATGAATGGAAAACCAATAAGATAAGAAAACATTTAGGAGATTATGGTAAAAGTTCTGAATTCTTCAAATCTAGTATGTACGAGAGAGTAAAAGAAATTAGAAATAATTATTTTCATGAATAAAAGATTCACTACCATAATGAAATAAAAAATAAAAAAATAAACTTTAAAAATTCATGTCTCAGAATCAACATTGAACTTTAAGAAATTAATGATTATTTGAATTTATGAAATCAATTATTTGATTCATTCTTTCTTCAATAATTTCTATTCTTTTTGTTAAATCATCTATTTTCATTAATGAGGTGATTCTTGATTGAGGAATAGATTTCAAACTAACCACTCCTTTTATTTTTGAAATTTTGAATCCATCAACTTTAAACATTTTATTCAATTTACATGTTGTCAATTCTTCAAATAATTTTTTATTATTAGCATAATAGTCATTAAATTCTTCAACAGATGAAAAAATTTTTGTTTCAGTAATTGGTTTAACAACGTTTATTTTTTGTTGAACATTTTCACTTTCATTTATTTCTTCCTCCTCTGTTTCATTTATTTTTAAAATTGGTTTCATTTATCATTAAATAAAAATTAGAATATAAGTGATGAAATATATTTTTTAATTAATATTAAATCAGAAATGGCTGCAGGATTCTTTAAAAAATTATGGGAAGGAATTAAGAAAGCTGCGGGTTGGGTTTATAAAAAGGTTATTAAACCCATTGCAAACTTTTTGGCACCAGTAGCGAAAACGGCAGGAACTATCATAGGTGGAGTATTAGGTACTAAAGCAGGTAATCCGGCGATGGGAGCACAAGCAGGTAACGCAATTGGTGGAATAGCTGAAGGAATACTTAATAAAATAGGAGGTAGATAGTGGAAAAAAAATAAATATTATTTTTATCTTAGTATCGGTTGTAGTCTTTGATAAACTTTTTCTCCTTTATTTAAATTTCTCTTATTGGGGCGGCTTTTGGTGTTATTGATTCAGCAACGTCACTAATTGCTTCTTTATTCTTAAATATCCAATTTGCTCCTTTCTTCATTGTTTCCCAAACTTTATGCGCTCCTCTTTTTACTTTATCCCACAGTTTCTTAAATATACCTGCAGCCATAGTTGATTATTTCATTAAAATTAAAAATTCATTTTCATCTTTTAATTTTGATTTTTTATTTATAATAAATGACGACTAACTATTTGGTGCCAAACACTAAACCGATTAATGGAAATGTGTTTCATTCATTCGAAAAGATAAATGAAATATTCGCAAAGAATGACGGTAGAAGATATTATAGAGAACTTGAAAGTTCATGCTATGACTCTGATGCTCCATATTTTGATGATAAACAAACTCATTTAAGAATTACAAATCCGGCTCATGATGTGAACCAATTAGGTGACACATATATTAAACGCAAAGTTAAAGCAACTCTAGTTTCAAATAAAGCTTTCACATGTGATGCCGCTTTTAAATGCATGCGTTTATTCGTTGGTTACAAATCATCAAATCAAAGCTTTAAACAATTAGAAGTAGAAACCGAAAGAGGTGATGCCGGTTATCTTCAGATGGATTGTGCCCGTGAATCTTTCGCATTTGCAACATATAAACCAAAATCAGAAAGGAAAGTTAAAAAGTTTGTTCATTCGTTATATAATAATGTTCAAAAATATGATAACTCAGTATGTGGTAAATATATTGACCCTTCAGAAGTTTTCAAGAAAGCAAATGAAGAAGTTGATATCACTTTTGATATGATTATTCCGGTAAATGATTTGTTAGCATTTCAGGCGTTCGATGATTATCCTAAATCATTTGGTGAAATCATTCTTAAATATTATGTTTTCAGGGATACTTTAGTATTTTGTCAGGTTGACCCGTTAAGAGTTGCTGATTTACAAAATTACGTTTATGAAAAGATAACTGATGAAAATTATGAAAAGATTATGAATCATGTTTATAAATATGATCGCAAATTCCAACAAATCGGACTTCCTGCCAAATTAATTACAAGCTTAGCCGCTACATCTGCTGACGCAACAGTTGATGACGTTATTATTTCATGCACAAAGATGGAAGTTTTAGAGGATAAATGCATTACACCAGGATACGGTTTAATTGAAGAATCAGTTAAAGCAATACCACGTTTATTCAGTAAGGAAGATCCATTCATGATTCCAGCTCAACATATTGACGTTCGTTCACTAAATGGAGGTTGCATCACTCCTGAAGGTATTAGCTCAGATTTCTCATACGCTCTTCATAATGTTACAGATGTTGTGTTAACATTTCCGAAGAATGCAATGCAAAGAACAGTTTTAGAAAATCCAATGCTTCGAGGTCTTCAGGTCACTATAGATTCCAGAAACTTCCCCGATCAAGCGATGACCACAGTGGGCGACATATTCTTTACACGTATGCTTCAAGCTTCTGATTTAGATGGAGTGAATGAATGCACAGAAGAATACGAGGACTCATTAACTAGACCACTGAATGATGATAATGGCACGCCATTAGCTAGAACATGGAAAGACCAAACTTCATTCTTATGCACTATTCCAGTTCAACGTGATGGAGCGGGTATATTCTTTGATGGATTAGAAACTTTCAACTCACAAGTTACAGTACAAGTGAAAGCTTATCCAATCATTCAGGGTGAAAATGACACTTACTGTTCAAAGGTGACAAATCCTCCTCAGGTTTGGTTTACTAGGACTACGTATTGGACATGGACACCGGATGAAGGTTTGAAATATCATCCAACAGGTACACCACCACAGTATAGAAGTTCATATGATGAAATATTGATGAATAGAAATGTTTAAAATTATAAATTTATTTTTGATTAAATGGATTTCAATTCTGAAGAATTAACAGATGTATATAATACTACATAGATGATATGATTAATGAAGCATTGAGTGATAATAGAAATGCTCTATCTAAGGAAAAATTAATGAAAATTCCATATTCTGAATGTTACTTAAATTCAATCACTGCAGCAATTGGTAAACAAATAAAGGTAAAACATTAACGATATTAAAACAAATTATCATTATTGCTAACACTTCCCCCTATTCACATGTGTTAATTTATATCAACCGTTCAGGTTCACCTTCAGATGATACATTTGAATCTTTAAAGCATTTAATCAAAATTCCAATTATTTATTTATCACAAGAAGAAGCAGAAGATTATTTAAAAAACTTTTTAATGTATAAAGAATTATATAATACAATCAAGAAGCAAGGATTAGAGGATAAAATTATTGATAAACAAGGGATGAATTATTTGAAACACTTTCTATTTCAAATTTTGATAGAGAATTTTTGCATTCACTCATTTTTCTAGATGATGCAGTGAAATCAAAACTAATAACAAATGAGAAATCATATTTTAATCATTATTAACTCAATGTCGACACATTCAGTGTTCATTCTTCATGGCTGTTCAATACTTCAAAGCATTAAGCACAAACATTAAATCAAATCTATCAACCTTTTCATTTTCAGTGGGTTTAGTCGTCAACAGTTGAACGTTATGCTTTATCAAGTGAATTTACCAATGAGCATTAATGAACTTTACACACAATATCAACAATTAGGTGAACATGGAAAAATAATAGTTGATTTAAATAAAGGTTCCATTAAATTTGATTAACTTTTTATAATTAATTTTTATTTTTTATTTATAATTAAACATGACAGAAATAGCAAATCTTCTACAGGTTCCATTAAAACAAGGGACAAACAAAAAGGGTGCATATAATAGAACTATGAAAGTTCCAGACGGAATGAAAGAATTAGTCCATATTGTTGCTGGTCTTCAAAAAGATGTTAAACAAATGAGAAACGTTTTAACATTACCAGAAGCTCAAGCATATGCCAAACGTCATGGACCAAATTGGGAAGCACATGAAGCAGACATTACGGGTCCAAATGGAAAACCTGATGGTATAAATGAAGTTTTCGTTACTGATGGTCAAGGTAATATTAAAGTCATAAATGGTTATAAATTAACTATGTCTGATTATCCTAAACGTAAAGCATATAATGAACGTTATCCTATGCAATTTGATGAAAATGGAAAAGCTGTTAAACAATACATTGGAGAAGGTGAAAATGGTCCAATTAATTCATACCGTTATAATCCATATTCTTATTTCAATGAAGAATTAAATGCTATTGAAGAGGGACCGGATGGATTACCACGATATGTTAATCAGTTTGATGGTCAATATGCAAATTTAAGACCTGAAATTCCAGCTAAGAAATTCTTTAAAGTTGCTTTATTCGATCCAGTGTTCAATGAACAGAAAGAAGCAATGAAAGCAGAATTTAAACCAATTCAAGTGGCAAGAATTTCTTCATCTTCACTTTCAGAAGCGTTCAAGGAATTGATAAAGAAACCACTTTATTTTCAACAAGGTTATAACTTTGATTTAATTAAAGAAAGTGATAGACGTAAATTAGAAAAATCAGATGGTTTTAAGAATGCATGTAATGAAATGATTAAAGATATTGTAAATGATAAAATAAGACTGGAAGAAACTCAAAGCAATATCAATAACATAATTGGTGCAGTTACAAAGAAAGTATAAGCAAACAAGGATGAACCTTGGGATATTACCGTAACAACTAAATAAAACTTTAAATATATTTTTCTTTTTTTTATTCAATTATAAATGAGAAGACGTTTCACAAGTCAAAAGAACACTAACGCAAAAGCAGAGATTACGGTTGGTTATAACGTAAATGATGATAAATCGCGAATTATTCAAAATGTTAAAGTTAATGTTAGTCCTGAATTAACAAGGTCAGCAACTCAACCAAATTTATTAACTCGTGACTTACCGAAAAAGGAGGAGGAAAATAAAGAAGATGGAGACCCAATCATTTTATCTGAACCCGGTAAAGAACCTGTTGAAATTCCCACTTATCCAACATACCCCCGCCTCTTTCATCAAACATCGAGAACCCAGGAATCTACGATTCCAGTCGCAATGCGCCATATAAAATAGACATTAATTCTGAATTAATGAAAATTTACCGTGATATAATAATTAATAATTATGATTCAATAATAAATTTAATTGATCAATCCGGTTTAATTATTTTACCTTATGAATCATTAATTCACATTATCGCCATTCTTTGTGATGTTCAAGATTCAGACGTTAAGATTCAATTTTTCATAGATGATGAGGTTTCATGCTGCGGAACAGTTGCAAAAATAAATCCTATAAAGGATATTAGCACAATTAAGATATCAAAGAACGGAACAACAACTGAACTTCATTTAACATATAATGATATTTATAATAAAATAGTTGATGAATATAAAATATCACTTGAAAAATTCTTTGTTAAGGCATTTAATATTCAAGCATTAACATTATGAATAATAATCCTTTGAATCATAATCAATAATAATTGACCTTTCACCAGTTTCTATCGTTTGTTTTATTTCTTTTTGTTCCCCACTATCTGGATCGGTCATTGTAATTGTTTTTGTTATAGTATCAGCTTTATCTTTAACTTCAATCTTTTTTCCATCAGGATATTTAAACCAAAAT